TAATTGAAATAATGATAGTAGTAATAACAATATTATTGATAACAATAATAATAATAATTAATAATAATAATAATAATAATAATAATAATAATAATAATAATAATAACGATGATAATAATAATAATTCTTATCCTTTTATTCTTTTATCCTATTTTTACTTTCAACATTATTAACATTATTGTTAATATTATCATTATCATTAGTTAATATCACAATCATCGTCATTATCAATATTCATCATTATTTCATCTTCATCTTCATTATTATTATCATCATTATCATCATAATCATTATCAATATTATTACTTTTGTTATTAGCATCATTACCTTATCATTATCATTATTACTGTTAATGATTATTATGTATTAATACAATTATTTTTGTTGCTACTATCACAATTATTGTAATCATCATTATCATCATTATCATTTTTTATATCATCCTTGTTATCAACATTATTATCATTATTACTATATCTGGTATTATTACCATCACTATAAATATCATTATTATTACTGTTATTTTCGTTATTATCATTATGATTACAATTATTATTTCCATTATTATCATCATATATCATCGTTATTATTACAATTGTAATTATGATTATCATTATTGTTAATAACATATAATTGTACTTACCATTAATATCTCATTATTACTATCATCATTATCATTATAATCATTACTATTATCATTATAATTACTTTCATCATTTTATTGATACTATCATTATCAATATCACCATAATTATCATCATTATAATTATTATCATCATCGTCATTATTGCTGTTGTTACCACTGTTATTTTGATCATAATCATTATTACTATTAATGTTACTATCATTACTATTATCACCAACATTACTATCATTACTATTTTATCATTACCATTATCATCATCATCATCATTACTATCGTTATCCTAATTGCTATTACTATCATCATGATCATTATTAGTGTTGTTATGGTCATCATCAATATCTTAATCATAATTACTACCAGATTATCACGATCTATATCGTCGTCAACATAATAATTAAAGATATTTTTCATGATTATCGTTTAATCATTAAATATATCAATCTTATTGCTAAAATTAACATAATCGTTTTTATCATAATTACTATTATCATTGATATTACTGTTATTATAATTATTATTGATATGATTATCTGCATCATTTCAGTTACTATTATTATTATCGTTAATACCATCATTATAGTATTATTTTTATTATATCTTTTATCACTATTGCTGTTAGTAGTAGTAGTTATCATAATATTATTACTAACATTATTGTCATTTCTATTATTATTATTATCATCATCATTATCATTATCGTTATTATCTCTGTTATTCATATTATTATCACTATTACTATCATAATCATTGTTATTATTAGTATCATCATTGATATTATTATTATTAGTACTAGTACTACTACTACTAATAATAATAATAATAATAATAATAATATCATTACCACTATCCTTATTATTATTATTATCAATCTCATCCTCATCATAACTATCATGATTATTGTTATCGTCATTATTATCATCTTTATCATAATCATTATCTAAATTATTTTGATCATCTTTGCTATTATTATTACATCATACATTATAATTATTATCATCAAGTCATTTGTATCTGAGCATCATAATCATCATTATCATCGCCATTTGGAGTAGTAGTAATAATAATGATAATAATAATAATAGGAATACTTTTATCATTATTACCATTACTATTATTTCCACCTACATCATTATTATCATTATCATTACTAATCATTATTACTATTATTATTATCATGATTATCATTATCATTATTATCATTATAATTTCTGTTATTATTGTTATGGTCTTTATTATCATCATCATCATCACCATTATCATCATTGTTATCATTATTATCATTATCATTATTATTTGTCTTATTATTATGATTATCATTATCACCATTCTTATCTATACTATTATTATTATGATTTTTATCATCATTAGTATTAGTGTCATTATAATTACTGTGTTCATTTTATCATCAATATAATTATTATTACTATTATTATTATCATCGCTGTTATCCTTATCATTACTAGTACTACTACTATTATCATTATTATTACTACTACTATTACTGTTATTATCATTGTAATTACGATCATTATTACTGTTACCATAATCATCATCATCATTATTATCATTATCAATATTACCGTTATTATCATTATCATCATTATTATTATTACTATTACTACCACTACTATTACTACTAATATCATTATTACTATCATTGTTGTTCTTATTATCATTATCATCATCATTATTGTTTTTATTATTATCATTTTGATAAGAATTAGCTATTATTACTATTATCACTACTATTCTTTATTACCATTAACATCATTATTATTACCATAATTATTGTTATCATCAACATCATTTCTATTATCATTATCATTATTAGAGTCGTTATCATCCCTTATATTATCTTATCTCGCTGCCCGTATCTTTTCCTTATAATTTCAACATACATCATAGTCACAATAAAGACACATATTTACGAGAATTGTCATGATAACAGTGAAAGCAATAACATCAATATCGTATTCGTCACATATTTCTACAACATGTAGACTACAATATGTATACATCTACTTCTAAGCCAATTTATTGCTACTTATAACACGTATGGTGATGCATATGATACTGATAGTGACTTCAAACCTTTGTTGTGGTTTTGTATGAATGTATATCTTGTATTGATGTCAGTGTGGTGTCAGTGTCACTATCATTACCATAACCACACACCATGGCGTAATGGCCAACATATGAACATTTTCTTGGACACTGAAACACTTATAAGATTTCCAACAAGGACCAAACATGCCATACTTTTTATAAACTTTATAAGAATTTGTCTTTCCCTTCCGTCGTGGAAGAGGAAATTCAATAAATTCCAAACTACTTTTTTATTATTATCATTATTAACAACAACGATCTAAAATACTACGGATAAGCAAGCACAAGCAGTTCTAGGACACTCCTGGTCAGTCTAGGATCATTCTTTTAGGAATTTCTAGGACGACATAAACAAAGGCCTGGTGGGTGCTGGCTTTTTTCTATTTTTTTTTTCTTTTTTTGAATAACGTGGTGTCACCATGGTGTCTAGTGGTGGTGTCACATCAGGTGGTGGTGGTTGGTGATGGTTATGGTGCATCAACGTGTGTGGTTGTTGTGACGGTACAGTGAGGGGGCAGCACACCCTAAAGGAACGAACATCAACACGCTGGGATTGAGCAACACGGTGTGACGTCACACGCGATGGAGACGCAGAACGCTGTGCGTGATATTTCAACTGTTTATATCATTTGTTATCATTATTTTTCTATCATCACTTCTTTCAATAAAATTTGGAAAACAATCCAATCTCAATAGCAATAATTTTATTTCTTTTACTTGCGCAATACATTGTTTTGATAATAAAAAAGAGAAAAAAGAGCCGATATGAATTTACTAGGCAATAATTCTAAACAGTGTGATACCCCCTTCTTGTAACACTACGACATTGATGTGTAATAGTGCTGGATGCGAGAACCATGAACTGACAGCGCTGTTAACGTGAATTAATAACTCTACGTCTCTGGTAAGCGATTCTGTTGAGTGAAAACTGTTTTTTGGAATCCTCAACGGTGTATCGGTTGTGTTGAACGTTAATTAAATGAAATAAAAACGGTTTTAAAGATATATTCAACGTTAAATGAGATAGAACGATAAGACGGCTCCGAAATATATTCCTTCGATGTGGGTCTATACGGCAGAAGACGTTCAAAAAAAAAAAAAAAAAAAATACGATAAAAATGTATACCTTAATTTCGGTAAAAAAAAAAAAAAAAAAAAAAAAAAAAAGTTCCAACCACTCTTTGTCTCTAGAATAATAATCACAATAATAACGGAATAACATATTAACGGAATAACATTTGGGTCCACATTTATCGGGTAAAAAGTCTTTATTTTAAATACATCTATTCGAAATACGATATAAACGACGAGGAAAAAAAAATCGTGATTATTTGAGCGAACGAGCGTGATAAATTGCATTAATGAGCGATGTTGCAAAACCTGGCAAGAGTGGACAGATTAGCGGATTTAATTCAATGGGTTAATTCGGTTTGCCAAAAAAAAAAAAAAAAAAAAAAAAAAAAAACTCGCGATTTTGTTTCACGCGTGGAAAATAATAATAATTTTTAAAAATGCCATATGTTTTATCGTGGGGTTGGAGAGCCGTGCTAATTAACGTGGTGTCTAAAGGTTATAACAATTTCGATGTTTTTTTTTTAATAACACGACGTTGTAGGAGGGAGGGAATGATTCATATATCCACGCCCATATGCGAGTAAATCCACGCAATTATCTCTCCTTTGACATCCGTTTCTTTATCCAATTTCCTGTCTCGCGTTGTGGAGAGGGAAGAAAACTGATATATCTACGTTTATATGCGAATAAATCCACACATATATCTCTCCTTGACGATATCCTATTCTTTATCCAATCTCCTCTTTAGCGGGTATATCCACACATTTATCTCTCCTCTCCGTTTCTTTATCCAATCTCCTCCTTATTCCTCTTTATCTCCCTCTCTCTCTCCTCCCTCCTTCGCGAACAGACCCAGCGCTTCTCTCCCTCCTTCCACCGAGACACCACGTGACCACCAAAAGCTTCCCGTGCGCCACACCAATATACACTGTCTCCTCTCTCCCTCCCTCTCTCCCCTCCCTCTCCCCTCCTTTTCTGACGCCAGCACTCGCTACTAACACCTCGACTGACGCCAGCACTCGCTACTAACACCTCGACTGACGCCAGCGCTCGCTACTAACACCTCGACTGACGCCAGCACTCGCTACTAACACCTCGACACAGCGTTCTCTCTGATATAAAGGCCAGGCGCAATGCACATTCATAGTCACACCACCGCAGCACCTTCTCTTACCATCTCTTAACGGGGGCGGTCTCAGCCAGGTCGTCTTGCCTGTGGCGTTCCGAAGAAAAAAGGGGCGTGTTAACATGTCTCAGACCAAAACACGAGGGAAGGAGAAGGGAGAAGGAGGAGAGGGAAATGGGAGAAGGAGAGGGATAAGGAAAGGGAAAGGGAGGGGAGAGAGGGAGAGGAATGAGAAAATGGAAAGGAGAGGGAGGAGAAAGTGGAAAGGAAGAGGGAAAAGGGAGCGGGAGAAGGAGAGGAATGAGAAAATAGAAAGGGAGAGGGAGAGGAATGAGAAAATGAAAAGGAGAGGGAGAGGGATAAGAAAATGGAAAGGGAGAAGGAGAGGGACGAGAAAATGGAAAGAAAGAAAGAGAGAGAGAGAGGGATACGAAAATGAAAGGAAAGAAGGAAAAGGGAGAGGATAAGGAGAAAGAAAAAGGAAAAAAAAAAGGAAGCAGAATAGGGGAAGGGAGAGACAGGTGAGAAATCAAATAAAAAAAAAAAAGAAATTGTCCAGGAACCATACTCATTTTTCACTCTTATCCAAGGATGATATCTCCCTCACTGTTTATACCTATGTGGTGTATGTTGGTTTCGACAGAAGACCAGAAATGAATACCACATCATTCTAAAAATAATCATATACATATAAAAGCAGCATTATTCTTACCATTTGTACCAAAGAATGAGATGGAGCCATGAACTACGTGCGCCCAAAAAAAGAAAAAAAAAAAAAAAAAAAAAAACTATTATAAACATAATAGTCTTTCAGCTATTTTGATTGGATCGTCCCAGCTCGCTACGACCGTCGTTACGAGGAGGCAATGGTGATTAAAAATGCTTGCGGAGGCGGGGGTGTTTTGGGCCAAATAAAAGAAACAAAGAGATGACCTAAAAGCTGGGGTGTGGGGGGGTGGGGGGGGAGGGGGTCGAGTACCAATGGGGGGGGAGAAGAACCAATGGGGGTGGGGTGTGGGAACGGAGGTGGGGGTGGGGGTGGGTGGGGCGAGTACCAATGGGAGGTGGGTTGGGGTAGGGGGGGTGGGGTGGTGGTGGGGGGGGGGCGAGTACGAATGGGAGGTGGGTAGGGGTGGGGCGAGTACCAATGGTGGGTGGAGGGGGTCGAGTACCAATGGGGGTGGAAGTGGGGGGGTTCGAGAACCAGTGGGGGAGTTGGGGGGGGGTGTTAGAACCAATAGGGGTGGGAGTGGGGTGAGTGGGAGTGGGGGGGGGGGTCGAGTACCACTGGGGGTGGGAGGGGGGTTGAGAACCAATAGGGATGGAGTAGGGAGTCGAGAACCAATGGTGGGTGGGGGTGGGGGGGGAGTCGAGAACCACTGGGGGTGGGGGTGGGGCGAGTACCAATGGGGGGTGGGGGTGGTGGGGGTCGAGAACCAATGGGGAGGGGTGGAGTGCGGAGCTCAGGCTTCTAAAACCCATTTGCACTTTATGGGGTACTCAAAGTCGGGCTTGTTATGCAGGGTATTTTTTAAACTACGAAATGCCAATGGTAGTGTTTTTTTGTTTGTTTGTTTTATTACCGTTTTTTTTTTTTAATTCTCTGAGGGAGAATGTAGAATGTAGACAGTGTTTTGCCTGCAATGAGCTGCTTAGACTCGGACCCGCGAAAAGGGTAGGGAATTTCTGAAGCTTAATTTGCATTGGGGAAACTCCTGGGAATTATTTAGCTCTAAGTACGCGCGAAGTCTTACTCTCTTTGCGTAGAGAAGGTATGAATGAGGATGAATATCTTCACCATACGAGAGATGTATTTGACCGGTTTCAACTAAGAGATGTATTTGATGTTTCGAATATATCTTCTTCAGAAATAATGAGAATGAATATCTTCACAATACAAGAGATGTATTTAACCGGTTTCAACTAAATTTACGTCAGAATTAATGAGAATGAGTATCTTCACAATACAAGAAAGGTATTTGACCGGTTTCGAATACATCTTCTTCAGAAATAATGAGAATGAATATCTTCATAATACAAGAGATGTATTTGACAGGTTACGAATATATCTTCGTCAGAAATACATGTATTTTCTCGTTCTGATGTATTCGAAACCGGTCAAATACATCTCTTGTATTGTGAAGATATCCATTCTCATTCATACCCTTTCTACATTTGTCATCATGAACGCAGTTCATATTATCTTTATTTTTTCATAATTTCTTTTTATGTTATTCTTTTTCGTCAGTAACTTCGCTAAAATTGTATGTCTGTAGAATATCAGTGAAGTATTTTTTTAATTAGAAATATGAGCTAGGTTAATAAAGGTCACGGAAAAGGAGAAACAAAACATAAAGTGAAACAAAACTGAACCTTATGGTGGCGAAACATCTACGACAGAAAATGCGACAGTAGTAGAATGCAAAAGAAGTTAACAATCACATACAGTTATATATATACATATAAATATACATATATATGTTATTTAGATTTGTTTATTTATTTACACACTTACTTGACTATTTATTTACATCACATGCATGACCATTTGTTTAATTGTCTTTTCGCAGCCTCTGAACACATCCGTTTTATAACACGGATTTTACCGCTTCAGCAAAATCACTTTACTGCTTTTATTCTCGCTTTTATTACCTTCATCTCCTTCCCTCACGAATGTCCAAAGGCGATTGGGTGAAATGAGAGGTTTCGTAAGCTCGATATGACGTCATTCGATCGACAAGTATCAATAACTTAAGTGGACGATATAAGGTCATCTGAGAGCCTGCCTTGTCGTCTTCTTTTTTTTTACTTTTTTTTATTCTTTTGTCTTAAACATGGAATTTTGGTCTTTATGCCTCTCGATGTTTTGTACTGTGTAATGATTTGATGTGAATTGTAGCTAGTTTTTGAGTCTTTTTTTAATGTTTTTTTCGTTCTTCAAGTTTAGCATCTTGGCTTTGTTTACCCCTGTCGCTATTGTATTTTTTATCGTATGCTATGATATAATTTATTTATATCAATTGTATATAATAATCAATACTGACTTTTATTTATTTATCTTCTCTATTTCACTATTATTATTATTATTACTATTATATTATCATTATTATTTCTATTACTATTAATATTATTATTATTATGATTATTACTATTAATATTATCATTATTATTTATTTTCTTTAATGTATACTATATACTGTTTGATACGATTTGTGTGTATCATTGATTATATACAATATTTGGGCTTTTCATTTTGTTGTTTTCTTGCTATTAAGAAAGTGATTTTGCGTCTTTTATAACCCTTGTCGATATTGGTCTATATACATTATTTTGTTTGTTATGATACGATATGTTTAATATTGTTTGATTTTGTTTATCATTGTTTGATATGTTTAATATTTCTTTGATTTTGTTTATCATTGTTTGATATTGTTTATTATTGTTTGATATTGTTTATTATTATGTTTATGGTCAGGGATTTTTATGTCATTATGCGACATAATTATGGAAAATAATGGACATTCTTTATTACTTATTTTTTCATAATAATACACTAACAGATTTGATAATTACTAAAATAAGATACAAATCAGAGTAATAATAACATTGACGATGATAATAAAGATGGTTATAATAACAGCAGTGATGAAAATGATGAGGATGATGATAGCAGTAATAATAGAGATAACAAAGATAACACAATCAGAAGATGAATATTAATGAGGATGATAAAAGCTACACACACACACACATCCACACAATCTTACTGAAAGTGGTGCGTCCTTCAAACGCCACTTTCCCTTTTACCTTTCAGTTACCTTAGCTTTAACCCTTACCTTACCCTTGCCTTACCCCTGTCTTACCCTTTACCCTTAATTGGCCTTAATTGGCCTTACCTTCCCTTAGCTTTAACCCTTACCTTACCCTTGTCTTACCCTTTACCCTTAATTGGCCTTACCTTCCCTTTGCCTCAGCCTTGGTTTACCCTTATCTTGCCCTTAGTTTACCCTTAGTTTAGCCTTAATATGCCTTTGCCTTTGATTTGGTTTACCCTTAACTTGGCCTTACCTTGCCCTTTAACCTTTCCCTTCTCCTCTTTACCCTTTACCTTCCTTTCCCCCTGACCAGTTTCTCCTTTGCCTTCTACTTTATTCCCTTAAGCCTATTCTTATTTCTGTCTCTTTCTCTCTTCTTACCCATTATCCCCTTCTCCTGCTTTCTCCTAATTACTTCTCATCATTTAAATCTTCCCCCATTAGCCCTTCCCCATTACCCCCTCCCAGTTACTACCCATTACCCATAACACCTTCCCCCATTACTCTAATTCAGTCACTATTCCCGGTCACTACCCATTACTACCCATTAACCCTCACAACCCATTACCCTACTCCCATTCTCCCTTTCCTACCAACCCCCTCCCACCACTACCCCTTTCCCCATCACTACCCCCTTCCCATCACCCCTCTTTCCCCCATTCCCTCCCCACCCCACATGCCATTACACTCCTTCCTCTACCCATTACCCCTCCCCAACACCCCTTCCTCTACCCATTACCCTCCTTTCCTCTACCCCATTACCCCTCCCCACCACCCCTTCCTCTACCCATTACCCCCCCCCCCCTCTACCCCCCTTCCTACCCCCCTTCCCCCAACCCCTTCCTCTACCCATTACCCCTCCCCAACACTCGTTCCTCTACCCCCCTCCCCAATACCCCTTCCTCTTCCCTCCTACCCCCTCCCCATTTCCTCCCTCCCCCCACTCCCTCCCCAACCCCCACACGCCACCACCCCCGCCGAGAGCATATGCCTCCTCCACCACAGGGTATGGGGGAAACCCCTCCTTGCCCGGCCGTGTGTCCCCTCTCTCTCTCCCTCTCTCGGAGTTGGGTCAACGGGCACCATACTCACTTCTGAGTTCTTGAGAGCAGTCTCTCCAGAAGGTCGGTTGTGTAGTCGACGTCAGGTTGGCCGCTGTCTCCTTCTTGGCCTGCGCGGGGAGAGAGAGGGCGTGAGTGGGTAGATTAAGGTGAGATTGTGGCGTGTTTTTTTTTTTTTTTTTTTTTTTTTTGAGGGGGAGGGGTGGGTGTTTTTTTTTTTTTTTTTTTTTTTTGGGGGGGGGGGGTGGATGAGATGAGGGTTATGTTTAGGGGGTAGATGAGGGTATGTTTTGGTAGTTGAGGTGGAAGAGGATATGTTTGTGGGGTAGATGAGGGTGAGATGAGCTCATGTTTTTTTTAGGGTAGATGGAATGAGATGAGGGTATGTTTTTTTGGGTAATGAGGGTGAAATGAGGGCATGTTTTTGGGTGGATGAAGTGTTTTATGAAGTGGTGGGAAGGAGGGGCGGAGAGAAGGGGAGGAAGGAAGGTAGGGAAAGCGGTAGAAAGTGAGGAGGAGGAGGAAAGAAAGGAAGGAAAGAGAAAGAGAGAGAGAGTGAGAAAGAGAAAGAAAGATGTGTGATGTGAGAGAAGAGAGAGAGAGAGAGAGAGAGAGAGAGAGAGAGAGAGAGAGAGAGAGAGAGAGAGAGAGAGAGAGAGAGAAAACAAGCAACAAAAAAAAAGAAAAAAAAAATAGAGGTACGGGTACATACACACACAGAGACGAACACAAAAAAAGAGCGAGGTAATTGAAGCGAAAGTTGGTCTCTGGAGCACAAAATTACTAATCAACTTTTTATGTAGTCCTATCAACTTTTTTTTTTTCTCTCTCAGACCTTCCATAACCATATTCTACCTCCCTTTATCCAATATCCTTCTCATCCCGTTTTATTTATTTTTTCTCCTTTATTCTCGTCCTCCTTATCTCCTTAACATTACGTTTCTAATTTCTTTTCACGTCTTCTTTCTCTCTTCCTTAATAACCTTACCTATCCCGACCCTCACACCGACCTCCACTCTATCCCTCCTCCTACTCCACCTCCTCCTCCCTCCACCTCCTCCTCCTTCACCACCTCCTCCTTCACCACCTCCTCCTCCTACTCCACCTCCTCCCCTCTACCTTCTCCACCTTCTCCACCACTCCATCCTCTTCACTCCTCCTCCTACTCCACCTTCTCAACCCCTCCATCCCTCCACCCCTCCCACCTCTCACCCCTTCCTCCACCTCCTCCACCTTCTCAACCCCTCCACCCCCTTCATTCCTCCACCCCTCCACCCCCTCCATCCCCTCACCCCCTCCACCCCTCCTCCTACTCCACCTACTCCCCCCCTCCACCTCTCCCTATCTCCATTGCCCTCCTGAGAGACATAATCTTAAGCGCGAGGTTAATTTCCCTTAAGTAAAGCCCTGAGACGGAGGTGGCGACGAGGAGAAGGGAGAAGGGGAGAAGAAAGAGGGGTGAAGGAAGGAAGAGGGGTTGGAAGAGAGAAAGGGGAGGGAGAAAGGGGAATGGAAGGGGTAGGAAGGGGGGATGGGATGAGAGGAGAAGTAGAGGATGCTGAGGATAAGGAGAAGGAAGGGAGAAAGGAGGAAGGGGGGATGGGAGGGAAAAAGAGGAGGAGGAGGAGGGGAAGGAGAAGGAAAGGGGAAGGAAAGGAAGGGAAGGAGAGGGAAAAGAGGGATGATAAGGGGAAGGGAGAAAGGGAGGGAGAAGCGGGAATGGAAAGGGGTAAGGAAGGGGGATGGAAGGGAGAAGCAGAGGGAAAAAGAGAAGGGTGATAAAGAGGAGGAAGGATAGAGAAGATGGAAGAGTGGAAAGAGAGAGAGAGAGAGAGAGAGAGAGAGAGAGAGAGAGAGAGGTGAAGAAGAGAGAGAATGAAAGAGAGAGAGAGAAAAGAGAGAAGAGAAGAGAGAGAGAAGAGAGAAGAAATGAGAGAGGGAGAGAGAAGAGAAGATAGAAAAAAAAGATAGGAGGAAGGCAGAAAGAGACAAAAATTAAACCGGAATTGAGGATATGAATATACATGAATGAATATACAGGTATATACACGGTATATAGGTATATACACGGATAAAGAGAAAGAAAACTAGAAAAAAAAATCAGCAGATAAAAAAAAAACACATTTACAATAAACAAAACAAAAAAAACACCAACAAAAACGGCAAAACATACAAGAAAACAATCAACCAAAACAGACACACACACGCAAGAAATATTAATAAAAAAGACAGCGTAAAGATAAGGAGATGACACCAGACCCGCCCCCTTGACAAGACCTTCTTAAGGGAACAATCGGTAAGCTGAGACGACAAGAGCCTCCTGTGGGAGGAGCGGCTTCGGTTGGCCTCCTGAGGGACACAGCCGAGAGGAGGGGTGACGGGGTGGAGGAGGAGGAGGAGGAGGTGGGGATGGAGGGAGGGGTGGGGGAGGAGGGGTGGGGGAGGAATGGGGAAGAGGTGGGGTAGAATGGGGTGGAGGAGGAATGGGCGAGGGGAAGAGAGTGAGGAGGAGGAGTAGAGGGGGAGGAGGGGTGACGGGGTGGAGGAGGAGGAGGAGGAGGAGGTGGGGGAGGTGGGAAGGGGAAGGGGGAGGAATGGGAGGAGGAGGGAGGAGTGGGGAAGTTAGGGGGAGGAGGAGGAGAATGGGGGGGGGAAGGGGTGGAGGGGGAGGGGGAGGAATGGTGGAGGAGGAGGGGGGAGGAGGTGACGGGTGGAGGGGGAAAGGGGAGGAATGGGGGAGGGGAGAGGGAGGAGAATGGGGGAGAGGGAGAAGATGGGAAGGAGGAATGGGAGAGTGGGAGGAATGGGGGAGGATGACGGGATGGGGAGAGGAGGAGAAGGAGGAAGAGGGAGGAGGAGGAGGAGGGAAGGAGGAATAGGGAGGTGGATGTTGGAGAGGAGGAGGTTTGGAGGGGAAGGGGTGGAGGAGGAGGGGGGATGTCGGAGGATAGGGGAGGGGGAAGTTGAGGAAGGGGAGGAGGAAGAGAAAGAGGAGGGCCATAGACGCAGAGGGAAAGAGAGAGACGTAGAAAAGGGGGAAAGGGGAAGATGGAAAAAAAAAAAGTGGAGAGGAGACAGTAAAGTCAACGGTGAGAATATATTATACTGAGAAGAAAGGGAGATACAGAGGTGGAATAAATAGGGAATAGAGAAAGAAGGGATAAGGAAGGAGGCAAGAGAAAGGGTAAGTGAGAGAAAGACGAAAAACTGAGAATATACAAAGGAAGAAGAAACAAGGAATAGCAAAGAAATAACGAAGAAACGTAGACGTAATAAACAGAGAGAAAGAATAAGAAGCAACTGGAGAAAAAATAATAGGAAGGGGAGAATAAGAAAAAAATAGAGATAAGAACAGGGAAGGGGGAAAGACGAGGAAAATTAGGATAATAACGAGGGCTTTGCGCCGATCCAGGAAATAGAGACAGACGAAAAAAAAGGAGAAAAGGAAGAAGACGCAATAAAGAAGAAGAAATAGAAAAAACGAAGGATTAGGGAGCTGAGGCAGAAAGGAGGAAAAGGAAGAATGATTAATAACCGAAAATGACGAAGGGGAAGAAGGAAGGAAGATGATAAAAAGGAATAATAGGGAAAATGTTAAGAATGTTCCAGCAAAAGCGAATGAGTGAAATATCAAATCCCAAGAAACAGGAATAATAGAGAATATAATAATAACGATATTAGCAGCATCCGTAAAAAAAAAAAAAAATAAATAATAAAAAATTAGGATTGATAATGATATCAACAATAACAAAAACAATAAACGAAAATAAAACCAAATTTAAAAACGGTAAAAAAAAAAAAATAACAATAATCAGAATAAGAACAGGATTAATAATGATATCAACAATAACAAATAACAAAACAAAATTACAAACCGACACACGAAACATCAAACTAACAACATCAAAAATCCAATTAAAATGAAATTACAAACTCGACACCATATCCCACAAGACAAGAGGGGTTTAATAACAACGTAGAGTGTGTATATTAAGTGTATTGTGCGGGCGAGAAACCAGTGTAGACAATTCTATGCCTTATGGACGTCACTCACCCCCCCCCTCCTCCCCCTCCCCCTCCCCCCCCCCCCTCCCTCACCCCTAGGCACTGTCACCTCGTATGATGTTGGGTGATGTTTTAGTTTCCTTTATTCTTGTTTTTTATTGTTTGTTTTTTTTTTTTCTCTTGTTTGTTTCGATTTTTTACTTTTTCTTCGTTTTGAGGTTTATTATTTTCTCTTGTTTTTTGTATTGTTTTTTTGTTTTGTTCTATTGTTATTAATTACTTTGTGTTGTTACACTTTCTCTGTCTTCTTTTCATTCTATATTTTTTTTCTATTTTTTCCTCCTCCTCCTTTTCCTCCTCTTCTTGTTTCTCCTTCTCCTCTTCTTTTCATTCTTCATTCTTTTCTTTCTCCTCCTCCTCTTCCTCATCCTCTTCACCTTCCTCTTCCTATTCCTCTTCCTCCTTCCCTCCTGCTCCTCCTCCTTCTCCTCAAACACTGTTTTATCAATTTATCCTTTTATCAGGTTATGTCCTTATCAATTTCTCTTCTTCTCCTTCTCCCTTCTCCACCTCCACCTCTCTTCCTCTTTCTCACACTCTTCCACGACATTATCTCATATTGTTTTCTTCTCCTCTCCTCTCTCTCCCCCCTCTCTCTCATCTTCCTTCCCTTGGCCCATTTCCTTTTCATCTTCTCCGTTTTCTCTCTTCTTCCCCTTTTTTTCTTCCTCTTCCATTTCCCTTTCTTATTTTCACTCTACGTACCCTTCCTCTATTCCTCTCCCTTATCCTATTTCCTATCTCATTTTCTCCGTTTCGCCCTTCCTCTTCTCCCATTTTCCTTGCCCATTACCTCCATTTCCCTTTTCTTCCTTTCCTTATCTCATTTTCCTTCCCTTTTGCCTACATTTCCCTTTTCTTCCTTCCCCTATCTCCTCTTCCTTCTCCTTTACCTCCATTTCCCTCCTCTTCCTTCCCTCCCTTTACCCCATTTCCCTTCCCCACTCCCCTCCCTCCCCCTTTCCCCTCCCCGCCTCTGCCATTGTAATGTAAACACACACGCGCTCCGAAACCAAGGCGTTCGTGTAATTACGAGACGTGAATG